GGGTGAGATGGATTGGCACAGTAGACATCATGTTTGGTGAAGTACAGACCAGCGAGGGCAGGGGTGGCCCTGGGTGAGATGGATTGGCACAGTAGCCACTACACTAGATTTGATACACCAGCAACTGTGAGGATGATGCAGGCCTGGGCAACACTTCATTCTGTTGTACGTCAGGTTGTCATGATTTGGAGGTGACTTGACAGCAACTAACAACAACCACCACTCTGTCTAGGAGCTGCCCCTGCAGTGCCACTAGGGGTCATTTTGGAGGGTCTTTACCTTTAAAAATTGGGCTAGGATGGGACTCCAGAAGGTGTGAGGCCAAGGGCTCCCAGCTGTCCCCACCCCCACTTTACCCTGGGAACTGACTTGAAGGTCAGCACAGGCCAATCCAGTTCTTCCTTAGCTTCACTGGAGGAGGAGCAGTTCTAGAACACATCAAACTAAGTGCAGGGCCCCGGGTAGGTGGGGCTGGGGAGGGAGCTTCTTTGCAAACTGAGGAAGCAGGAGTTCTTTTTTTTTTTTTAAATAAAAAAAACAAGATAGAGTCCCTGTCAAGGGGAGAATGGGGAGGAATGCCCTTTCACAGAGAACACAGGGAATCATCAATGAGAGGCCCCTGAATGTGTGTGTGTGTGTGTGTGTGTGTGTGTGCATGCTCGCATGCTCAATGTGTGCATAAGCAGGATGGACAACCCAGTCATATGAGGAACCAGTGGCTCTACTGGAGAACGGATGGCATGACCTACTTAGTGAGGACTGAACACAGCCCCAAGCATTTGGCAGGGATGCCCCTGGTATAGGTGAGGGCGCTAGAGGGTTCGCATCCTGGAAAAGTGAGTGTCACTGTTAATGTGGTCTTTGAGATCATAAATGGGGATTTAGTTCACAAGAGGTGGCCACCGTTGGTGAAGGAACCAAAGTGGGGGCACGGAGGCTTCCATCATGGGTACCCTGGCAATGGGGCCATTCCCTGGGGCTGTTACTGAGGATGCCATTTGTGGCTGAGACCCAATAAACTACAGGTTGGAAGGGATGGTGGCAAGTGTGAGAAATGAGACAATGTCCATTAAAACAAACAAAAAAAGAAAGGATGAAATTCTTAAGAAAGGAGTCTGAGGGGAAACGGGATGGCCTCGGCCTCTCCCTCCCAGGCTGCTGCTCTTCCTTCCAGCGGTGTTGATCACTGTTCTCCTGGACTGGGGGCTTCCCAGGAACCTCCCTCACAAACTCTGCCATCCCCTTCCCTGGCAGGCCTCTCTCAATCTACGGTGGCTCTGTGTCAGAGCCGGCCAGCTGGAGGAGCCCCTGCAGCTGTGGCGGTGTCTTCCTGCTCCCCCTCACACATAGGGGAGGCTGGGAAGAAGGAACTATTATTGATTGCTTTCCACAGGCATCCACTCTCCTCAGATGGTGGAGGAGATCATTGCTACCCTACCTCAATTTGATGAGAGGTCTCAAAAATCACAGTGAAGAACGCATAATTTTAAAAAAAGAAAATATTTAAAAAGGGTGAGGAGGAGCTGTGTTTGGACATCGCTACTCAGGCCTCAAGGAGCCATGGTGGCATGATGATTAAGCGCTGAGCTGCTAACCAAAAGATGGGCGATTTGAACCCACCAGCTTCTCTGCAGGAGAAAGATGTGGCAGTCTGCCTCTGTAAAGATTACAGCCTTGGAAACCCTATGGGGCTGTTCCATTCTGTCCTATAGTCACTATGGGTCAGAATCGATTCGATGGCAATGGTTTTTTTTTGACCCAGGCCTCTCCCCTCCTAGAGGCCCGTGTGCTCGGAGTCTGGCTTTCAGACTTGGCGTCTACGTGCATGGCCGGTCTGAAGGACAAGGTGCCTGGCCACCTGCAAGGATGGGTGGGGCTGCTCAAGCCCCTTCGCTCACAAAGGATGCCCACCTGCATGCAAATGGTGGGCTGCCCCCAGGACCCACCTAGATGGAGCAGAAATGCTCGCTGGTAAAGAGCAGAAAAGCAGTTACCAGTTGCCCTGGAGTCGACTCCAACTCATGGCAACCCGTGTGTGTCAGTGTAGCACTGTGCTCCACAGGATTTTCAATGGCTGATTTTTCAGAAGCAGATCACCAGGCCTTTCTTCTGAGGTGCCTCTGGGTGGAGTCAAACCGCCAACCTTTCAGATAGCAGATGAGCGTGTTAACTATTTGCACCACCCAGGGACTCCAAAGAGAAGACTAGTGGGCCAAGAAAAATGGACTAGATATATTTTACCTTTGCTGCCTTCAATTCCTGGGGAAGCAATAACAGATCCTCGAGAGAGAAAATGGGGTCAGGAAGTTAGAACCTGGCATATAGTTGGTCTGGTCTCTGGCCCAGAGTGAGAACTAGTCTCCTACGACACTCCCCAGATCTGGAGGATCTCCTTTTTGTTAGCAAGGCCTCTTACGGTTCAACTGAACGATACGATTTTACTCATATCATCCTCCAAAGAGTAGGGGTTTCAACAGGAACCCCAATGCTTTTCTTGTATAATTTATTTTATTTTTTGTTGCTGAGAATATATACAGCAAACCACACATGAATTTAACTGTTTCTACATGTACAACTCAGGAACATTGGTTATGTTCTTTGAGTTGTGCAGCCATTCTCACCCTCCTTTTCTGAGTTGTTCCTCCTCCATTAACATAAACTCCCTGCCCCCTAAGCTTCCTATTTAACCTTTGGAGTTGCTGTTGTCCATCTGATCCCCCACAGATAGATCTTAAAAGAGCACAATGCTCAAGGGAGACATTCTTTACTAGTTAAGCTAGACTACTGTTTGGTTTGAAGACAGCTTCAGGGGAACCCCAATGTTTTTAATCCAACCTGATTTGTGTCTTTGACCTTATTCTGTATACAAAGCACTTCCTGGCAGGGTATATAGTGGCAGGGAGCCTTAGAGTCCCTGCGTCTTATAGAGGGCACCTCATGTTACCCACCCAAGCTGGGGACACTTCCCGCTTCTCTCCAAGCCATGCCTGGCCTGCACCCCACCCGCCCAGGTGTGTCTAAATGGGTAGGTGCTTGTCTACAGCAGACATGGCCAACTTAGATAGACTGAGATACTCGTTGGCACCTGTGAATAGCAGAGTGAATGCCTGATTAGTTCCCCTGTGTACTGTTAGGAGGCTGTCTTTATAACAATCAAAAACCAAACCCGTTACTGTTGAGTCCATAGGACAGGGCAGAACCATCCCATAGTATTTTGTAGGCTGTAATCTTTATGGAAGCAGATCACCAGGTCTTTCTCCCATGGAGCCAATGGTGGGTTTGAACTGCAAACCTTTCAGTTAGCAGCAGAGCGCTTAACCACTGTGCAACCAGGATTCCTTCTTTATAACAACAGAGAAAAATTATGGCTTCCTGCAAGGCTACCAGAATCCACCACTGTGCTGCACTGTCTTGGCAGGTTTGCCCAGGCTTCTTACACGAGACATAGTGGCTTTTGGGACACATTCATAACAATCAGGAAAAGACTTTATGCTCCTCATCCCCAATGCCCCACTTACCAACTTCATCCCTGATGTTTGCAAGTTCGATTGACAGCTCTTTTTCTTTCACAAGGGCACTTTCATTCTGAAAAAACAAAACAAAACAAAACAAATCGGATACCGAGAGTCCCCTAGTTTTATGCTAGATTAGCACTTTCACATGTTTAATTAATGAATCATGTAAAGCAAATATTTATAAGTCTAGCCTTTAAGGAGACAGTTTTCTCATTACATAAGCACATATAAAAAAACGTACAAAGCCAAGTCTGACTCATTCATTTGCATCACATTGAAATTGCAAAGTTTGCAATATAATAATAATACCCATGGTTGTGGTTTTTTTTTCTCTATATTACACTCTTGCCTATAATCCTATAATACTTCTTTCAATGTCTACATCCTACACATGGATCTATTGTCATATACTATTGTACTTTGTTAATTATCATTATTATTATGATACTTTTGACCATGAAAAACCTCATGCCCTATTTCTTTGAGGGGCAAACACTTGTTTTACCAGCTGTACTCTTAAACTAATCCTTTTGTCCATGTATACGTAGCTACCTAAGACCTAACGAAGATCAGACCCGTCTCAGTTATCCAGTGCTGCTATAACAGAAATACCACAAGTAGGTGGCTGTAACAAACAGAAATTTATTTTCTCACAGCTTAGGAGATTAGCAGTCCGAATTTAGGGCACCAGCTCTATGGGAAGGCTTTCTCTCTCTGTCAGCTCTAGGGGAAGGTCCTTGTCATCAATTTCCCCTTGGTCTAGGAGAATCTCAGCACAGGGAACCTGGGTCCAATCGACACACTACTCCTGGCTCTACTTTCTTGGTGGTAGGAGGGCCCCCTGTCTCTCTGCTGCTTCTTTTATGTCGCAAAAGAGACTGACTCAAGATAAACTGAATCCTGCCTGATTAACGGAACTGCCTCTAATCCTGCCTCATTAACATCATAGAGACAGGATTTACAAAACCAAAAAAACCAAACCAGTACGGGAGGATGTTAACAGTATAGTGTCCTGCGGATCTCCGAAATCTTAACAAATTATTCCATACTTTCCACCACGGAAGAGTCAGATATTTTGGGAAGAAGTCCTTTGAGAGCCAGACCTCAGCTGGATACAGTGCTGATCATGGTGGAGACTTCAGAGAAAGACCTTTAGACTTGAATCGCTTTGATGAAAAGCTAACTCTGATACCTCGCGGTCAACCCTTCTCCATCCATCTCTTGCTTTAGAGCAGGCGCAAATAAGATTGAGGGGACTAAAGTGAGAGAATAAGAGAAAAGAAGCAAGAAAAGAGGGGGGATAGGAAGGGAGCAGAGATGGACGAGGAAGTGGAAAGAAAGACAAATAAGGTTAGAGACCCTGTATTTTCTCCACTTTGGAAAGCAGAAACCATCGATAGAGATCAAGAAGACTCATCCCAGTCCCTTTTCAAGCCCAGGCTACAGAACCAATAAGTTCCAAACGACACTCATCACATGGCTTGCCAAGGAAGACTCGATGCTCAGAGAGACACAACTAACTTGATGGCTAAAATGTCGAGGGCAATGACTAAATTTGGGTAAAACCTGTCTAATTCCTACTTCAGTGTTAACACTAACACTTACCAAACACTTTCTATATGCCAGGCACAGGGCTAAGTAAGGCCATTTCAGCATTTATTCCTCCAAAGACCGTAAAGTGGGGCCTGGGTTTTATCTCCCTTCAGAGGAAACTAGGGCTGTATGGTTAAGTAGCAAGCTCCTGAATACTGAGATACCAAGATTCTACCCTCCTACCTATGCATGTCACTATGCTGTTGATGGCACCCAACGACAGCAACAACTCATACTTATATAAACACAGCATCAAGATTCAAACTGCACTGATCCTCAGAGACTTGATCTGAGCACTTGTTGTTGTTAACCTGCCGTGAAGTCAGCCCCCAACGCATGGCGATCCCACGCACAATGGAACAAAATGCTGCCCGGTCCTGTGCCATCCCCATCATCAGCTGCGGATGGGACCATTGTGATCCACAGGATTTTCACTGGCTGGTTTTCAAAAGTAGATTGCCAGGTCTTTCTTCCTAGTCCTAGTCTACCTGGGGCTGTAACTTCTGATGTTGTCGTTAGGTGTCATTGAGTCAATTCTGACTTATAGTGACCCCATGTGACAGAGTTAGATGCCCCATAGGGTTTCCTAGGCTGTAATCTTCATGGGAGCTGATCTCTAGGTCTTTTCTCCGATGGAGCTGCTGGGCGGGTTCGAACTCCCAACCTTTCCGTTAGCAGCCAAGCACTAGGGTAGGAATTTCATTTTCCCTAACAGCCTCTGTGAGGACCCTTCCTGCTGGCCTCTGAATACTTCCTGCTGAAGATGCTGGCCCTGCTCAGTGCTGGCTCCTTGAAGCCAGCCTGTGTAGCAGGCTGGCTACAGACCTCCTTCCTTAAGTGCTTACTTCTGAAATGATTTCAACTCTTCTAATTGATGAGTTCTCAGCGTCAAGCAAGTTATTTTTTGTTCCCTTGCAAGCCAAACCCAAATGACATGGTGCAACCCTGCAGCGAAATGAGTCAGGGCCACGACACTGCAGGGATGCTGTGCTTAGGCAAGAGGTGAGCTTAGAAGAAACTTCCACCCGCTCCTCCTTGCCCTCAACAAGGTACCGCTCTTTCCATCGTGGTCTTATGGAACCCGGCAGCCACCATGCAAGACGTTAGGCTCTGTCGAATGCCCAGGAGTAAAGCCATCTGAAGGTTCCCTCTGAAAGCACCTCGTGTCACCGTTCCCCTTACTCCCCCACTCAGCCAGATGCAGAGTGATGACGCCGTGGAATGACCGGGACACGAGCACAGCCTCCTCTGATGGCCCACGGTTAGATCAGTGTTTCCCTAAATGGCGGATGAGTGGAAAATTCCTAACTGGTGCCAAGCACACTTGAGCGCCTGCTTTCACTCAAAAGGGCTAAAAATAGAAGTCAGTACTAACCTTCTACACAGTCCTAGTGTCACAATCCAGAAATCTCACAGCCTAAGAAGGCCATGCTTCTACAATGCCTGTTTACCCTACGACAGGCTTAACTGGAAATGGACACTTTGGAACGCTCATCCAAGCCCCACGCAGCAGCTGCGTCTTTTTAGCTACTTCTTTTACTTGGCCGTGCACCTCTCCTTTCTCTCAGAGTTCTCTCTTCTCCTCTTCAGCGCATTCACAGATGGAATCCAGGATGAGCTATTCGCATGAAACATGCACCTCACCGCCTCCACGTCTGGCCCCGACCACACAAGTCAGTTACCGTGCAGCCTGCATGGCTCTCAGTTCTATGGTTGGCAGCGTGAGTCCAGCCAGAGGCTCATCGGAAGAAAGGCCTGGTGATCTACTTCCGAAAGATCAGCCTTTGAAAATCCTATGGAGCACAGCCGGACTCTGACACACATGGGGTCACAGTGAGTTGGAGTTGACTGATGACAACTGTTTTTCTCTCAATTCCAAAAACAAAAACACAACCAAACCCGTTGCCATCAAGTCGATTCTGACTCATACTGACCCTATTGAACAGAGGAGAACTGTCCCATAGGGTTTCCTAGGCTGCAATCTTTATGGAAGGAGGCCTGGTGGCGCAGTGGTTAAGCGCTTGGCTATTAACCAAAAGGTTAGCAGTTCGAACCCACCAGCTGCTTCACAGGAGAAAGATGTGGCAGTCTGCTTCCGTAAAGATTACAGCCTTGGAAACCCTTTGGAGCAATTCTACTCTGTTCTATAGGGTCGCTATGGAATTGACTCAGCGTCAATGGTCTTGCTTTTTGTAATCTTTATGGAAGCAGACTACCACATCTTTCTTCCAAAGAGTGGCTGGTGGGTTCAAATTCTTGACTTTTTGGTTAGCAGCCAAGTGCTTAACCATTGTACCACCAGGACTCCTTCTCAAGCCTAAGGCGTCTCCAAAACTGTTAGGGAATGCTGCCTTGCATCTTTCTCAGCTACAGAAGCCTGGCAAAGAGTAAACCCTGCTAATCATGCCGTTAACTTCAAGCAATTGGATGTGTGGCCAAACAACAAGCCAGCGTGACACACTCTATTATTTAACCTGAGTGGTCAGTGTGAGTTATCTGTTCAGGTGGTTGATGTTCCCCATGTGAACCTGGTGGTAACAGGAAGTGAAAATGCCTCTCCTTGTTAGCATCACCCACATGGCCAGGCATCAGCCACGTGACCCCTGCTTGAACAAGAAGACAGCAGAATAGCTTGGTAATCCTTAAAACTGAATGTTGGGTGAAGGTAAGATGCTTTCATTCCAACTAATCCAAACCCAGGAGTCCCTGGGTGGTGCAAACAGCTAATGTGCTCAGCAGCTAACAGAAAAGGTTGGAGGTTCAAGTCTACCCAGAGGCACCTCGGAAGAAAAGGCTGGTGATCTACTTCTGGGAAATCAGACATTTAGAACCCTGTGGAGCACGGTTTTATTCTGACACACATGGGGGGAATCAGAATCAACTCGTTGGCAACTGGTTTGGAATCTCTGGGTGGTGAAAACAGTTAATGCGTTTGGCTACTAACCAAAAGGTTAGAGGTTTGTGTCCACCCAGAGGTGCCTCAGAAGAAAGGCCAGGTGATCTACTTCCAGAAAATCAAAAACCTCATGGAGCGCAGTTCAACTCTGACACACATGGGGTTGCTGCAAGTATTTTTTTGTTTTGTTTTGAATCTAACACATATTTACTGAGTGCCTACTGTATGTCAGAGGGACTTCGTGCCAGGCACTTGGGGACATTTCTGCCTTCAGGCAGCTTAAGAGCCTCCAAGAAAGTCATTCCAGTGAAGATGCAATTACAAAACATAATGTAATATAAATCAGCTGAGACATGAATAAGCAGGAGGGGGATGAAGGGAGCCTTCAGGCATAGGCTGGGAGAACTCGTGACACAAAAAAGCACCCAGGGCTATTTCTGGAGACCTCTGTCACCTCCACCAGATGGGACCTTCTCTTTTCCTCTCCAAGTTTCTGCCCCTGGTGCATGATCCTCCCTGCAAGAACTCTTGGTGGGCTACCGGGTGGACTGACACCAATGTCAACAGTTCACTACAGTTCT